ATCCATTATCTGTTAATATTAAGAAATGACATTAATATATCTGGTGATGTTAGCCGATTAGCTGGCCAATCTGTTCAAGTCTGTTAAGTCATTTATTAGCCGGCTGAGCTGTTTAAGTTGTCCCGTTGGTATAACGGTGACAGGAGACATTTGTTGGGGAATGGGCACAACCTGTTGACATTAGCAAGAAAATGAATGTATGCTTTTTCACATATTCCATGTGAATAATTTTTATTTTAAGCTTACAGTTTTTTTTGAATCGCCAAATATTTATTCAATTAAACGTAAAAATTAAATTTAAAGACTTTGAATCATGATGTTATATGAAAAGAAAAAAAAAACAGAAATCTAAATTTTGTTCATGAAAACACATCCTACTATATTGATTATTTTATAATGCTCTTCCAAGTCCTTATTCTTGAAATTAAAAAAAAATTTAAAGACGAGCATGATCCATTCAAATAAATTGTTGTTACGGAACTATAAAAAAACATTATTTGTTGTTGTTACAAATAATTAAAAAAAAATTTCAATGTGTCAATTTTTTCAATTTTTCATTTTTATATTCTCCAGTTCTCTGCTTTAAATTTACTTTGTCTGAAATTTTGAGGCTATTCTAGTTTGTTTGCAAATTGTATATTCGCCGCATAATACTGGCCAAAGTTACGGATGCAGAGGGACCCGACAAGAGTTAAGTTAAAGAACATATCTGCAAAGTTTCAATAATTGAACTACATCACGAAGCAAGGTTTTAAATTAAAGCTGCGTAAAATAATTAATAATTAAAAAAATGCCACCTCTCTCTAAAAGATAAACAGAGAGATGCAAAAAAGTATTTATAAAAAAAAAATATACTAATAATAAAGTTGATGAAGAAGATGGGTTTAGAGTGGAAAGCAAAAGAAACAGCACCCTTAACAACAATTAGAAGATTTCAATGAGGTGTCGATATCTAGATTCACCCAATACTATTATTTTTTATAATATCTAAATCAATCTACTTTATTTGCTATTAAAATTAGTTTCGTCTAAGTTTAAGCCAAATTGACAATGATTCGATTCGATTCCATTAAATGTTTCCAAATTACTGCCGTATCAATAACATTGCATTTCCATTTATAGGGAAATTATTTTTATTATCAATGATTGTTTTTTTACTTTTTTCTGCCAATATTACTTTTATATAATCATTATTATCTCCCATGTTTTATTATAAAAATTTTATGATAATAATAATTTACATCGGTTGGTAAGATTCATTGTTTTGTAGTAATTTTATAATTACTATTACATAACTAGAACTGAAAAAGGAGCCATTGTAACTAACTCTTTGTATTAGATATATTTATTTTATTTATATACTATATAAATTTCTGTTAACAATACTATTACAACTTTAATTTTATTTTACATTTTTATTTTTATTATTATTATCCATTTCAGAAAAAATATCTGAAATTTTCGCAAATAATTTTGCGCTGTTCTGTATTTGGTTTAATAATTCATCATTACTTTTATTTATTTTCTTTTCTAGTTTATTTTCTAGGTCTTTAAACTCATTTTTAAACTCATTTAATCCATTTTTGAGTTCATTTTTGAGTTCATCTTTAATTTCATCTTTAATTTCATTTCTGATATCATTCAATTCATTTTTAAAATTTTTTTTAATTTCTTCAAATTTTGATTCAATACCCATATCCATTGCTGGTTTGGGTATTTGTATATATTCTTGAAGTCCATCAAATATAATCGGTAAAGAATCAGGATCTTTGTCATTTGCAAGTCGATCTTTCAAACTTGGAATAATTTCACTTTCAATACGAGAAACACATTCGTTATAAGCATTCTCAGCATGCATCAAAATCTCTGTACCCGTAGGTGAAACATCCAATACATCAATATCTTTGACATTTTCGTAAGCCAATCTAATTTCTTCCAAAGCATCAATATCATTATCTTTTTCGCTTTCAACAACAATTTTTTTTAGAACTATTTTTGGTTGAGTCATAAGCTTTAGAACAGTTTGATGCAGTTGTTCATGTTTCTTTCTAAAAGCTCTTACAAAGTTGATACGTTCTTGTAATTTGTCATGAGCAAGAATGACTTTTATCGGTATGAATTTGTCGTTTCTTTTCCTGGTCACATCACGAGCCACATTGGTGAATTCTTTAATACACTCGTCCCACGCCTTGAACACATCTTCAGCACCAGACACCAATTTCTCGAACTCTTCATAACCCATATACATCAATCGTCTATTACCCAGTACTTTAAGTAATTGTTCATTTAAATCACGTGAAATAGCTTCAGCAAGTGGTAAAGCTTTCTTGATCGGATATGGACTGGTTATTATAGATTAAAAGTTTGTATATATTGATATTACAATTCTAATTATTGTAATCATAATTAATTACTTACGATAATTTCAACTTTCTACTGAAATGACCAAAAATTAATATTATTGCTTCTTTTATTTCGCTAATACCAGGCGCAGATAATAATTCATTAAGCGGAAAATCTTTCATAAGTATATTGTACCTGCGGGCTAACATAATAATAGTAATGTATATATTAATTAATTAAAAAAGAAAAATATCTCGGAAACGATTATAATAATAACCTGTTTCAGTGGCTTCTTTCAAGCCAGTATCAGCCATAAAAGATACAGTTGCATGAAATCTTTTTCCAGATCTTAAAATATCCAAAGTCAATACTGTATAATTACATTTAATTAATTAATTAATTTGATATTCTTTCTATATCATCACGCAATATTTTTAATTATCATACCAATTTGATCATTTTCCAAATTGTTATTGATACCATCCAAAGCAGCTTCCATACTTAACCAAAAGTTAATTTCTTGTGCGGCAGTTTCACTAGAGTGATCGCGTGTTAGCTTAGTGACTTTCTGAATTTCTTTTACCCAATCATTTACACCCGCTTGAAGTTCATTTAGGAAAGTAGATTCGTTTAAAAGCTGTGGGTCAATTGCATTAACAGTGATTCTTGTTCCTTCTTGTTTACACTTAAAAAAACAAAATTGTAATCATCTATCTTCAATATTAAATATCAGTACGTAATAATTTAAATCGTAATTCGAATTGAAAATTTACCTTCTCGACAATTTTTTGAACTATAGGATGAATATTTAACAAAGTTTTAGGTATTGCAACCTTTTCTTGCAAATGAAGTAAACACAATTCCAATTCGGCAATCTTCTTTTTAGTCATTGGAATTCCCATTTTAGAATCATCATATTTCTTGCCAATAGTGCTAGTATCTTTTGCATTATCAACATATGCATCGAAATAAGGAGCAACGGCTAAATGGATATAGGAATGAATTGCATCATATGGATTTACAGCAACTGATCCAGATTCACTTGGAGCAGGACCAGGCAAACTTAAAATTTGTACTTGAGTTTGAATTGGCATTATGGGATCCAAATTTGGAATATGTTTTATTATTACAACGGAAGCGACGTGGTTCGAATAATAAGCAAGATTTTGAGATAAAGTATAAGAATAAGATATGGCTTGATCATCTACAAAATTATTATTATTAAAAGTTGTTACAATAATCGGGAAATCCGTAAACGGACAACATTTCAAAATAAAAATATCAAATAAATAAATTACTTTGATCTTTATTTTCAATTTTTTCTTTTGTAATGTATATAGCATTGACCTGAGGATCGTTTGCAAATTTCCCAAGCTTTTCAAGAGTTTCAGGAAAATTCCATAAAGTGTTTTTTAAGTCATTTTCCTCAGCTCTTAGAAGTAAAGATAAAAGTTTGTTAAGATAATCTTGTAGTAGTGCAGGCTCGAAAATCGGTGGAACTGGTGCGGTGCCGTTTGAATTTTGTTTATTAATAGTAATAGTCATTCTGTTAAAATTTAATTTATGTTTTTTATAATTTAGTTAAATAAAATAATCCATATTTTAATAAAAAATAATAATAATCATTTTTTATACCAAAAAAATGGGGCCCATTGATCTATATACATTGCCATAAATATCCACATGATGATCACTTTAATAATTGGAAATGTTACGCCTTATAAACAGGACCCCGGACAAACTTAGTAGATGGTACATTTCAATTTTGGGTAGAATCGGTTCAAATTTCATTGATCTGTTCGGAGTCTTAGTAATAATAATAATTTAATGGGTTAAAAAGTCTCACTACATTAATAAATGAATATATTTAATATTGTATTTAATACAAATCAGTGAGCCAAATCTGAAGTACAAGAATATATAACAATGTTGTTTTAACAATTTACAATATATAAATTCAATCAATTATATATTTATTAACATAAAAAGAATTAAAATGATCAAATCCTAGAACTATGTGCACAACTTCATTAATTGATGAGATTGGAATAAATTGAAAATGATTAAGAAAGGACAACCATGTTTATAAAGCTTCTCTGCATTGTTTGCATCATATCATTAAATTAATATCTGTAAGAATGACCTTATAATTAATTACCAATATATTTCATCTGGAATGCATTCATCATTTTTACTTTCTGCCATTTCAATAGCAACATTTGAAAACTCTGGTTTGTCATGACAATAATTATCACTATGTGCAATTATACTATCTGGAAGATGTAATTTCTTTAAATAGTGATAAATTATTTACATCAATTCCTATTTCTTGAAATGGATTAATGAAATTTGCTAAGAATTTTCCAGTCCATCCTTGAATTGCATTGATAAATTTGATGCTTGTTTATTTTCTTCTACAAATATGTCAACTTCAGATAAAAACAATTAATGAATTTGAGAACCAAATTTAAATTGATTATTTGTGCTATTGTATCAAGAATATATTTTCTACATATCTATTATAAAAATATAAAAAAATAAAAAATAGTAAAATTTATCAACTACAATAGCAAACATTTGGGGATCAAAATTCCATTTGTTTGTTCTTTTATAAACATATGACTTATGGAGTGCTTCATATGTTTCAGTAGTCATACCATTGAGAGATCAAATTGTCTAATTGTTTCATTGATGTGAAAAAGCCATGAATGCAGTTTAGATAATTGAAGATTAGAGTGAAATAATTCTATAAATAACTTGGTTCATCTCTTTCTAAAAACCTATAAATTAATGAATATTAAAATACAAAAAATTAATACTAGATGATTTTTTTACTTTAAATTCAGCCAAGGAACTTTCTGTTGGTTCTTCACAACTTTTCATATACATCTCATCCCATAGAACAAATAATCCAATTATTTTATGATCATTCACCGAATTTGCATCTTTTAGCATACCATCCATCACAAAAATGACACCTTTATCAAATTACAAAATTCATTTGTTGTCATTTGTTTTAGAGCATCAACTCCATTGCAAACCTTTGATTTGTGGAATTTGAGCAAAACATTGATTCATTTTATCAACAGCTAAGAAAATACCAAAAAAGAAATGTATCACGTGTTGCTTATTTCAGCACTTCAATTTTGAAACCCTTCAGACGTTTTTGAGAAAACTAATTAGCTTTGTAGAGCTTATCTCAATAAACAAAGTTACTGTGAGATTTATTAAATCATGCATTGATCATCTGATTTTAATAAAATATTTTTTATTCATGAATAAACGAATATAATTACTAGGCATGAGCATAGACTCACTTCTTGTAGTTGTCAACGTTAATATTATCATTCTAACAAAAGTTTTTAATTGAATAGAAAACTGCAACAGTGATTACAAATGAGTAGCAGTTATTTAGAAACATATTTATTATTCATTAATAAACGAATATAATTACTAGGCATGAGCATAGACTCACTTCTTGTAGTTGTCAACGTTAATATTATCATTCTAACAAAAGTTTTTAATTGAATAGAAAACTGCAACAGTGATTACAAATGAGTAGCAGTTATTTAGAAACATGGAATTCAATTAAAGAGCATGATTATAAAATTGTTTATAGCAAGTGATTATACAGAAGGTAGGTGAGTATGTGTATAATAATAAAAAAGTAACAAGGAAGGCCTAGAATTTTTTCATTTACATATTTATATATAATAGTAATAGTAATAATAATTTCAGTTTCGGAATACAACTGCAAATCCAAAATATTTCGGAAATCAAAAAGTGACAACTTTAATCCGAATATTAATGTCAATATGGACTCGATCCAAATTAATATGGCTCATACTAATTTATAACGAAAAAAAAAATTTGAAAGCCACATTCTCTAATATGATTGATTAGTTGTCTCTAATTATTTCTACCATCTATATCTTATCAAATTTTGAGTCGCACTGGGTACTCTTGCTAACTCTACTTTTTGTTTCTATTGCAGATCTCTTCCAAAAGTTATTTCTCCGGGTAAAGGGTTCTTTATGTAGTTGAGGAACTCTGATATTAATATTAATATATTTTATATTTAGGGTTCAACCACATTTGGTTTGGTTCAGGGTTGAGTCAGCTGATTAACATCCCTAACTATTTTAAGAAATACTTTTGTGTGACTGCAATTTTGAGCCTTTTTGTAACCTTTAGTGTAACACGAACCCTCAATCTGACTTTGACTTAATCTGATTATTTCCCTCGCGCCTTTAGTTTTTTATCAAAAATGCCAAACAAAATAACCATTTTCTTAATTATTCTTACCATAATTACCGCACTCTTGTATGAATTCCTTTCTTTTATTGGATTGTTTCGTGAAACACCCAAAGCCTATTCTGGTGACAGGTGTAGAAAAATAGATGGTTTGATTAATAAATAAATTATGGTAATTTGTTATAATTACTTTGAAGGAAATAAAAAAGTATATAAATTATTTTTAATTGAAAGAAAAAGGTATAGAAGCCTGTGAAGATATTGTAATTCATCATGAAAGTGGATATGCTTTTATGGCTTGTGGCAATTCGGAACTTAGAAGAACTCATTGGTTTCCAGGATCTGGAGTTTTTAAAAATAAAATTATTCAATATAGAGAAACAGTTTTCTCCTACAACATTGATGTATGTATAAGAATATATATTTCTATTATTACCATTGGATAACTTTAACTAAAATTATTTTCCCTTTATTTCCCATCCTTCTTCATTGCTATTTTCTCCTCCTATAATATGATCAGTCAGAAACTTTATTACCAATTAATTTTAAAAATTACCCGATGATGAAGATGTAGTTCTTCATGGATTTGGAATTCATCAAGATCCAGCTGATCATAATGTTTTATACCTATTTCTTATTAATCATAAACGATCAGGAAGTGTGGTTGAGATTTTTAGTCATATAATCGGGTCACAAGAATTACATTATATGGAAACCATTAAAGACGATCTGATTAATTCACCAAACAATGTTTTCCCTGTTTCTAAAAACGAGTTCTATGTTACAAATGTTCATTACTCCAAAAATCCATTTATGGTACAATTTGAATGTTAGTTTTTTTTTTTAATAGATTGATTAATTATAATTATTAATGAAAATATTGTCTAACTCTATCCCTTATATATATAAAGTCATAACACGTCGTCCATGGTCAAATGTTGCGTTTTATTCTGGGGTTAATAATAAAACAGAAATAGCTGCAGATAAAATATGTTATCCTAATGGGATAGATGGTAACTGGGATAATTCACGTATTTACCTGTCAACAAGTTCTGGCAAATTTTTTGTATTTGAACGAAACCATGATAACAAACTAAAATTACTTGATGATATTGAAATCGGTTTTGGGGATAATATTAGTGTAGATGATATTACTGGTGAAATTTATTTAGCTAGTAAGTGTATATAACTTATTATATATATATATATGTTGATTGGTTTTTTCTAAATTAATATTTGTATATATAAATTTTTTTTTACTTCCAAATAATAAAGCATTTCCAAAGATTATGCCAATAGTTCACTTCTCCAAAGGTCAATATGAAACGCATATACCAACTATAATCTTGAAAATCAGCAACAATACAAATGAAGATAAATTCAATGGTATAAAATATTCTAAAGAAATTGTGTTTCAAGATGATGGAAGCTTTTTCAGTTTCGTTACAGTTGCAGCTGTTGATAGAAAAAGAAATGCGTTGTTATTGGGTTCTATTTATAGTAAAGGGGTTGTTAGGTGCAAATTGGAATATTAATATATACATGTTACCTGGGAAAAATAATTATATTCCGTTTTTTTTTAGTATAAATAATAATAATAAAAGTTATCATGTATTCTATTAAAATTGTATGTCGATCAAATTACTTGTAAATATTCTGAATTAATGATTCCTTTTCATTTATTTTCTGCCGACTGAATGATCTCTATAATTTCTTCAACACTACTTCTATTGAATACTAACATCTTTTTCACTGATCCAGAGTAATGTTCCTATACGAATATCAGAAATCGAAATGATATTGGCGTCAATAACTTATATTCATAATTACTTTCAAGTGTCGAATATTTGTAATACTTAAATTGATAAATTTTCTAATAAAAATGTCTTTAGTAAATGATGGCATTGTTTTAATTAATGATGAAGAAGAAACAAATTCTAATGATAGATTATGTAGGTCACAAATACAAAACTTTGACGAATCACAGAAGACCTAGAGAATGTTTTATATATGTTCCTACAGAACCGTTATTTAGTGATGCTGGTAACCATATTATACCAAAGCGTGACAAATTAAAGCTATAAAAGTTATCGTTTTTAAAAAGTAACATGAGGCAGAGTTGGCATTTCCATTGGACTGGACCATCGGACATTATATAATTGTACCATAAAAATTTAAAAAAAAATCCATATAAATATTTCGAAAACCTTGACAATTGTTTATTAGTATTAGTCTTGCATGTTTTTTGAAAATCTAACCTACAATTTTTCAAAAAAGGAAATCTTTTACAGTCCGTTTTATAACTATGGAATATGCAAATTGCATATTGCAAAGGCTTGTCTCTGAACTATTGGTAAACAGAGCAAAATTGAAATACGAAACATTGAGGTGAACAAATTTTTTTTTTTTGTGTTGACACAATTTGTCAAAATGATCATTTTTTTTTGAAAAATGTAAAATGTTAAAAACACGATACAAATTTTAATCATGTTTCGTTGATTTTTTCCAATTAAAAAAACTGTTTTTTTTTGTTCTTTTCTGCTTATTATTTATTTTGATTAATAAGATTGTGTGGTGATGATTCCTTTCCCCTAGATTATTTGTTAACGCGAGTTGTAATTTCTGCGATTATTTTGATCATGTCACGCGTTTACGAAAAGCGGTTTACGTCGTGTGACTGCGCAAAAAAAGGACCAGGAAAACTCTATTGTATGTGACCGTCAAATTAAATGACAAAACATGTTAATGTAAATCTGAGTTTTTATATAATCATGTGAATCGATTTTCCAAACACATTTTAAAAATTATTAATAATGCGAATCAAAATAGCCGAGGACATATAAAATTTATCTTTATTTGATTTATTAAATTAAAAAAAAACATTTAAAACAAAGTTTTGTGTACTTGACTGATTATAAATTAAAAATGTTTCATCATCTACTACGATCAAAAAAGGATTAATATCATTAATAATAACGTATTCTCAAAAAATAAACTACTTCTCGTGATGTAATATGAATTGTAACGTCTCCTCATGAAATTCTTGAAAGTTAGAGTATGTAATAAAACGTTTTTAGTGTGAATCGTAAGGAATTTTTTTGTTATTTTTATTATGACTTTTCATTT